GAGACCTTTCGGAGGAAGCCAGCCTTAATAACAGAACGTGGAGCCAGAGCTGTGGGGCCCTCCCTTGCAGATTGCAGTGGGTGGAGTGGTTGTTTTAATACCTTTCAGTACCTTATGAGGTATTGAAAGAAGGCCTGTATAGCTGGAGCCTAGTGAGGCAGAGGTGCCACATGGGTTTTGGAGTGGCTGGCAGAGGCCAGGCCAGGCAGAAACTTCTAGAGTGGCAGTCATCAACCTTTTTGGCATCAGGGACTGGTTTCATGGAAGACAATTTTTCCAGGGATGAGGAGGCCTGGGGGGATGGTTTCAGGATGATTCAAGTGCCTTACATTTATTGTGCACTTTATTTCTATTATTGCATTGTAATATACAATGAAATAATTATGAAATTATTATTTTGATATAAATCTGCAAGCAATTGATTTATTATGGTCTCTGTGCAGTCAAATCTCACTGCTAATGTTAATCAGTATTTGCAGCCATTACCCAGCACTAGCATCACTGCCTCAGCTCCACCTCAATCATCAGGCATTAGGTTCTTATAAGGAGTGCACAGCCTAGATCCCTTATATGCACAGTTCACAATAGGGTTTGTGATCCTATGAGAATCTAATGTCACTACTGATTTGACAGGAGGTGGAGCTCAGGCAGTAATGTAAATGATGGGGAACAGCTGTACGTACAGATGAAGCTTTGCTTGCTTGCTGGTTGCTCACCTTCGGCTGTGTGGCCCAGTTCCTAACAGGCCACAGACCAATACTGGTCCATAGCCTGGGGGTTGGGGACCCCTGTTCTAGGGGTTATGAGAATAACCTAATAGAAAATAGCGTACAGGAGAGAAAATAAAATATCAGAATTCATCACATATCAAAGATAAATATTCATAACATTTGTTTTATGTTTGAGTTTGTATACTCAATTATAATATAATGTATATTTCTTACTATGAGGTCATAGTCAAAAGAAGTTTGAAAAATACTGCAGAGGAGTTTGGATTTTATCCCCAAAACATTTGTAAGTTATGGAAGAATCATAAGCAAGACAGTGACATAATGTTATTTCTTTATTTACTGTATCACTTTGACTGCCAGATGAATATTAGAACAAAGGGTCCCATGACATTACTGAGTAGGTTATTGTCATGGTTCAAATGAGAGGTGTTTTGGGCTTCTTCAGCAGTGGTGTTGGTGATAAAGAAACATTCAACAGCTATTTAGAAGATAGATTCAGCAGGACTTGACGGAGGCAAGAATAAAAGGGGCCTCCTAAAATGACTTCTGCTGAGCCGGGCTCGGTGGCTCAGCCTGTAATCCCGCGCCTTTGGGAGGCTGAGGTGAGTGGATTGCCTGAGCCCGCGGGTTCGAGACCCGCCTGGGCAGCGAGACCTCATCTCTACAATAAATCAAAAATCAACTGGGCATGGTGGCGCATGCCTGTAATTCCGGCTACTCGGAAGGCTGAGGCGGAAGGATCGCCGGAGCCCAGCAGGTCGAGGCTGCGGTGGCCGGGCGTGGCCACTGCACTCCAGTCTGGGCGACAGTGAGACACCAACTCAAAAAAAAAAATAAATAAATAAATAAAATGACTTCTGCTTTTCAGACTCCACTTTGCTGTCCTCAGTCATCAGCCCTTTTGCAGGTTTTCCATTTTCCTCCACTTGGTCTTTCATTAATTTAATGACAATAATACAACTATTATTTAACTGAATACATTTATATATATATTTCTCATTCTCAGCATAGTTCTGAGACTTAAGTAGTCTAATCTTCACTTTCTTTATCCCACTTGGTTTCCATGTAGCATCTTTCTCTGTGCGGTTCCACAGTGCCTTACGCCCCAAAATCATATTTACATTTCTTCCCATTTTTATTGTGCTACTATAACATAGATAGCCATTTAGGGTCCCAACTGAATTTATTTGGACCTTTACAGTATCACCTTAATCACCATAAGCCCATTGGTTTCTAAGTGTTTTAAAAATCATACTGTACTTCTGTGAAAGAAACAAAAGCAGATATTCTCATTCCAGGATATTTTGCTGACATGAGTTTTGTTAAACTTAGCAGTGCTCTGTGTGTGTGCTGGGGGAGAGGGGTTGTTATCTATACAATTTCTTTTCGCTTTTCTGCAAAAGTATGTTTTCTCATGTTTCTGAACCTTATTTATTTATTTTTTAATTTAAAAAATTTTTAATTTTAAAGATGTGGGGTACAATTCAGGGTTAAGTATATATATGTTCATTATGCAGGTACCCCAACCCCCAGGAGAATCCCACTATTGCCAATCCTGCCCCTCCCCTGTCAATTTCCCACTACTGACAATCCTTTTCTTAAAATATTATGATAATTGTTCAAGGTCCACTTATGAGTGAGAACATGTGCTACTCTTTGTTTCTGTGATAGATCACTCAGTATTATAGACTCTCAGTCCATCCAAGTTGCTGTGAAGTTCATAATTTTGTCCTTCTTTATGACTGTGTAATAGACCATCATGTATATGTAACACATTTTTTTAATCCAGTCCTCTTTCGATTGGCAGCACTGTTGGTTCCATGTTTTTGCTATTGTGAACAATGCTGCAATAAACATGGGTGTGTAGGTATCTTTTTGATAGAGTGATTTGAGTTCCATTAGGGGAACTGCAGGGTCATATGGAAGGTCGATTTTTATAACTTTTAGGAATCACCAAACTGTTTTCCACAGAGGCTGTATTCGTTCACACTCCCACCAACAGTGTAGAAGTGTTCCCTTTTCCCCGCATCCTCTCTAGCCTCTATTGTTTTCTGAGTTATTGATGATGACCATCCTGCTTGGAGTTAGGTGGTATCTCAGGGTGGTGGCATTTCTTTGATGACTAATAAGACTAAGCATTTTTTCATGTTATCTGTTGTCTGCTTGTGTGTCTTCTTTTGAGAAGTGTCTATTAATATCTTTTGCCCACTTTGTAATGGCGCTGTTTGGTTTTTTTCTTCTTGGCACATTTGAGTTCTTTGTAGATCCTAGATGTTAGGCCTTTGTCAGATATAGTTGGCAAATATATTTTCCCTGTCCGTGGGCTTTCTCCCTGCTCTCTTGATGGTTTCTTTGGCTTTGTAGAGCTTGTTTGAACCTTATTTCTAAAAAATTGTTTAAACTTGAACTTACTGATATGAATTTTTTCTCCCTCTTTCCCCATTACCATCCTCTGTTACATTCTACAGTCTATACAGTTGTGGTTAGAGAGTCTGTACCCAGTGAACCAGTTACATCAGTTAGAGTTTCTCTATATTTTGAAAAGTGTGCTTTTATCTCAACTTCTTTCTTCTTCTTTGTTCAACAGTTTTCTCTTGTGTAAACCTGTCACTATTTCTAGGTCATTTTTGAGGTACTGTCTTCGGAACTGTTAGAATATTTGAGGAAGCATTGGAAAGGAAGTCCTGGAAAAGTGCATGAATGGAATAAGAAAACAGTATTTATACTGTGTTCTGAGGACTAACTAATAAGATAGGCACACATGTTTTTCTATACATGTGGAGCTTCTGGAGTAGGAAGATCAACAGATAAATAAATGAAATGTAATTCTAGAATTGCAAAAATTGAAAAAAGAAAGAGGAATAAAGTATAGTTACAGAGAATGCCGTGAATCCAAGTAGAAGGGACAGTCTTTCATAGGAGCTGGCATTGAAGCTACAATATTTCAGTCACAAGGGAGCTGGCTTCTCAGAGAGCATTCCAGGCAGATGGTACAGCGAATGGGAAGTCTAAAATAGGAAAGAATTTGACATGTCTAGGAACTTCAGTCAGGTTAGAGGATTAGAGTATTGTTTCTGAAGGTAGTCATGGCTCAAAATGAGGTAAAAAAGGTTATTAAAATTTGGATCATGCAGGGGCTTGTAGACCATGAATGGATTGGATTGTATTCTAAGCACAAGGGTAAACTGTTCAAGATTCAAGCAGTATTCTCAAACTCTGTGTTATATCAGAAGCATCTGGAGACTGATGAATGAAGATACATCGCATTAAAAAAATTGTTGATAAATATTGAATGCCAACAACGTGGAAGTAATGGTTCTAGGCACTAGAGATAAAGTGAAACAATGTCTTTGCTTTAATTACGCATGGGACAGACAATAGTCAGACTTTTAAAATGGTATATCAATTAGTGAAAAGTACAATATAGGTGCAATTATGTTTTGAATGTTTTGATAATGTGACATTTGAGCAGAACACTGAAGTGAGGGAACAAGCCAGGAAGATATGTAAGAGAAGAGCATTCCGAAAAGATGAAACGGTAAACACAGAGGCATATGCTTGACATTTTTGAACAGCAAAGAGGCCATTACGACTAGAGCAAAGTGAATAATTAAGAGAGTGGTGGTAGATAACATGAGAAAAGTGGCCAAGGGTAAGCACATGTAGGGCCTTGTGGGTCATAGTAAGGACGCTGGATTTTACTCTGAGTTGGCAAACCACCGGAAGATTTTTAGCAGGAGAGTGATATGCTGTGAATTATATTTTTAAGCAATTCCTCTGGCTACTATGAAGAATAAATTGTAGGAGTAAATATGAAAGCAGGGAGACCAATGAAAGAGGCTAATACAATGAAAGATGGGTGGCTTGGACTAGGGTGGTAGTAGTGGAGGTAGTTAGATTCTTAAGTTTTGACAGAAGAGCTGATAGGATTTGCTGATAAATTGGGTGTCTAGCCAGGTATCTGTTCGTGTGTTCCCAAGAGGGTGTTTTTATTGTTTTCTATTATAAGCTTCCTTGGTGTTTCTAAGCCATTCCAAAATTTGAGAACCACTGACTTAACCTGTTTTCCTAACTATCTTCCTTCCTGTAAACTCTCCTCATTCTTTATTCTCTCTTTGTGCCTTTAAATAAAATTGCACAGTATATTTGAGCACTGTTTTAGCCATTCTATTCTGATGAAAATTATTTTCATTTACCGTTTTTACTTTATTAAGTTCATTTCTCCTTGTAAACAAAACAGCAGGAATTTGCTTTCTTGTTATTCTGCAGACTTGGAGTCCATTTGTGAGCCCAAAAAGTCATTTCCAGAATGGGGAATTTATGAAATGAAGTCACTCCAGTGGCAGAATATGAGGAAACTTATCAACCACAACCTTCAATACTATAGTCCTGGAGATAATATGGAGTACAAAAATAAGTTTGAAGGTCAACAGAAAACTCAAGATGGACTTTACGTGTGTGTAAAAATTACTTGTGAAGAAAAGGCCACTCAAAGCCATTTCATGTCCCCTAATCTCCATCAGATTATTCCTACTAAGGGAAAAACATACAAATGTAAGGAATGTAGACAAGCTTTCAGCTACCTGTCATGCCTTATTCAACATGAGAAAAATCATAATATAGAAAAACACTCTAAGAAACATAGGAAGACTTTTGGCAAAAAGCCAAATGATATCCAACATCAGAGGAGTCAGACTGCTGAGAAACCTTATGAGTGTGTGGAATGTCAGAAGACTTTTAGTCGTAGTTCTGATCTGATTCAACATCAGAAAATCCATACTAATGAAAAACCTTATCAATGTGAAGCATGTGGGAAGGCCTTTATTCGTGGTTCACAGCTCACTGAACATCAGAGAGTTCATACAGGAGAGAAACCATATGAATGTAAGAAATGTGGAAAAACCTTTAGTTATTGTTCACAGTATACTCTCCATCAGAGAATTCATAGTGGTGAAAAGCCCTATGAATGCAAGCAATGTGGGAAAGCCTTTATTCTTGGATCTCAACTTACTTACCATCAAAGAATTCATAGTGGTGAAAAACCCTATGAGTGTAAAGAATGTGGAAAGGCCTTTATTCTTGGTTCACACCTTACTTATCATCAGAGAGTACATACTGGTGAAAAACCTTACAGATGTAAAGAATGTGGGAAGGCCTTTTTATGTGCCTCTCAACTGAGTGAACATCAGAGAATTCATACAGGTGAGAAACCCTATGATTGTAAAGAATGTGGGAAGGCCTTTTTTCGTGGCTCACAACTTACTTACCACCTGAGAGTTCACACAGGTGAGAGACCCTATAAATGCAAAGAATGTGGGAAAGCCTTTATTTCTAATTCTAATCTTTCTCAACATCAGAGAATTCATACAGGCGAGAAACCCTACAAATGTAAGGAATGTGAAAAGGCCTTTATTTGTGGCAAACAACTTAGTGAACATCAGAGAATTCATACAGGTGAGAAACCCTTTGAATGTAAGGAATGTGGAAAGGCCTTTATTCGTGTTGCGTATCTTACACAACATGAGAAAATTCATGGTGAGAAACAGTATGAATGTAAAGAATGTGGGAAGACCTTTTTTCGTGCTACACAGCTTACATATCATCAGAGAATTCATACAGGTGAAAAACCCTACAAATGTAAGGAATGTGACAAGGCTTTTATTTATGGTTCGCAACTTAGTGAACACCAGAGAATTCATCGAGGTGAAAAACCCTATGGATGTAAGCAATGTGGGAAGGCTTTTATTCGTGGCTCACACCTTACCGAACATCTAAGAACTCATACAGGAGAGAAACCCTATGAATGCAAGGAATGTGGGAAGGCCTTTAGTCGTGGCTCAGAACTCACTCTACATCAAAGGATCCATACTGGTGAGAAACCCTATACATGTATCCAGTGTAGTAAAGACTTTAGACGTCATTCACAGCTTACACAACACATGAGGCTTCATAACTGAAAAAGCCTTGAATGTGATTAAAGGTAAGAAAACCTTCATTATTCATATTATATCAGTAATGAACATAGTAAAGATTTATTCTTTTGCTTCTGCTCGGAATAAATAGAAAGCCCATATTAACTTAATGAATGCAGAAATGACTTCTAAAACTCCCTAAAGAATTAGCGTTTCTATAATTGTGGAATGTAATGCTGAATTATTCTTTACTGAACATCCTCTCCATTTTACTATCTCTTACCTGAAATTGTATGTTTCTTAATTTCTTTGTGCTCCGGGTTTTTTGTAAAATATTATAATGTTATAATAATGAATAAATTGTGAATTATTAAATGCATGTGGCTCCCTTTGGACATTATCTGATAATTAGTATTATTATCATTTTTATATACTGTTAGTGCACTCAAATATTTTATGAGTACAATAAGATATAAGCAGTCTATTGTTATATATCCCTTTTTGAATACCGATGATATATTCTGGAACAACCTTTAGAATGTAAAAAGATTGAACAACTCCATTCAGAGCACATAAATTTTACAGCAGCAGATAATCCATACAGGAAAAAAGGCCTAAGTAATTACTTTAGGATTGGTGAACTTTTAAAAATAAAGTCAGGCGGAGATTATTTTTCTACAACAAATTCCAGAAGCAGAAATTTTTAGCTCGCATTTTTTGATTACTACTTTAAGGGACAAATAATTTGTCAACAACATGGTAGCCAAGATAAATCCACTACACACACACACACACACACAAATAATGATATTAAATGGAAATTAAAAACACATTTACAAACTACAGCTTTTCCTCAGCTGAATCTAACCATTCCTGATAATATGTTGAATAGTAAGCTTGAGATGCCCAAATTTCAGAGCCTACATTCTATTACTTTAAATAGGAAAAATAATGATATATTTCCAGTCTGTTAAAAAAAAAGACCCAAGCCAGATTTTCCCCAAATAATTTAAACATGAACTACCCACATGAACTCTAGCAGGTGTTTCTGAATAGCATACACACACACACAAAAAAAATACAGAACCCAGTTAATTAGTAGATGTTTGTGCACACAGTGATTTTGAACAATATAATGTATTAATTATATTTTCCTTGTACACTTCAAGGAACAGGTATAATGACAATAAATAATGAAATATATTTTACATAACAGACAAAAATAACACTTAATAAAATAAAAGCAACTTTAAATAATGGAAACTTACAAATTGCAGATTTGTCGAATGAGGACTGAAAGTCAAAAGACAGTAATGATGACTATGTTACTGTTCCATGAATGAAGGTGAGTGAGAAGATGCTGGACAAGCAATAAATGACTGCAGTTCCAAGTCTGATTCCAAGCATCTGGTGGACAGTATTCTCAGAACTTGAGACTACAAAATTGAGTGAGTGTAAGCCATATTAAAAGCTGTCCATAGAATAACTGGAACAAACATTCCCAAGACAATACTTACTTTTTCTACATGCAGTGCACCCTGTTGTCTTCTAATACTTTAAAAAAAAAAAAAGATATTGCACCCTACTTAATTGTCTCCACAACATAATATTGTTTATGATCCTTACTCTGAAAACCATTGGTAGTACATAGTACATAATATAATCAAAATATTAATTCATCATTTTTATAACTTGACAAAGAAGAAAAAAAATAACTGAGACCACTAGAACTCCATGAATAATCAGTGTAATCATCATGATGCCACTACAGTCATGCATTCTTCCTCTCTACACTTTTCTCAAATTGGATGAACTATCATTGCTCCGTCACTAACAATTCAGGGATTAACATAATTACAAGATTCTAAATTTAAAGAAAATTTAAATAGTGAAATGTAATTAGTGTACTATAATAAGTCATTGATAATACCTCTACTATGAAACATTTTTGCACAATAACAGCCTTTTGCAGTCAATACTCTGAACCAGACTTTCAAGATATAATCCTCAAAATACCTTCCAGAGCCAGGGATTCTTCTTCATTGCATACGATGCAGTGCATAACCAAATTTACTTATTGGCACCATGAACTGCACTTTGAACAAATCAAATTAAAAGGTTGTGAGAAGACCTTCTGTAAATAAAACAGTATCTTTATTTAATCCATTGTTTGCCAGTCTTGTCCATGAAGCCTCTTTCTTTCCATATACTTATTAATATATTTTGGTTGTGAATATATTTTGAAAAATTCTGTATTAACCAAGAAGAATGATGGTAAATGGAAATTTTAGGCATTGTTTCAGTTATTTAAATTTGGTGGGTGGTGTAGCACTTTTCTTTAATCATTCACTACACTATAGAGGAATAATCATTGTTGCTCAAATTTCCACCATTCTCTCATTCCTGCATCATCATCTAGATCAATTTAATAAGATTTTCATTCTTGTTGCTGTTGTTACAAGATTATTTAAAAGGAGAAACTTGAGTATATATTAAATTTTCAGCACTGTTAATGTTTATTTCATGAATCATGTTTTCAAAGTTGAAGTTTTCCTCTTAAAATGGTGGGGAATTATCAACAGACAGAACTTGTGCTTTCAATTTAGTTTCTCCTTTAAGAGTCTTGTTACCATCATAAGTGTTCAAAATTAAGCTTTATTTTCTTTACATGGGGATTTTTAAGTTAAAAAGCATTACCTTTCTCTTACAAAGTTACATAATAGAGTTAATTCCATGGCAAGGAAATAGTGCAAAGCTTTTAAAAACTACTTTCATTATATTTTCCTTATCTATTGTTAAAACTTTATTGCTTAATGTTTTATTCTGTGCTCAAATATAGTCTCCATTTCAGTGTATTAACAGTATCCTTTAGTGGAATAACTGCATATATATCTGTAACATGCATTAACATGTTTCAACTTTATTGTAGAAAATTTCAAACATATAAAAATAAAGTAGTATGGTCAACACTGTGAATCCATAATCTACCTTTAATAATCACCTATTTTTTGCCTCCCTTGTTTCACCTTCCGATTTGTTTTTGCTGGGATATTTTAAAGGCAGTCAGTATATTTATATCATATGTCATGTCCCTCTACATATTTTAGTATATTTCTTGAACAGATGAGTCAGCTTTCCATAATTATAGTTGGTTTGATTCAGGATTTTAAAAAAGTTTTCATATTACATTTGGTTTGCATGTGTCTCTTGTACCTTGCTTTATGACTTTTACAAAATGCCTGTAGAATATAATATGTAGCAACATGGGAACAGTGGTGTCATGATATATGCTACCCATTCTGCCTAAGCTGAGTATTTAGGTTGGATTTTTTCCTACTGCTACAAACTAAAAACTAGTACAGTATCTTTGGTTATTCTTGCATGTTAGTGTTTTTATTTCTATATAATATATTCCTAATGATGATACTGCTGAGTCAAAGTATGTGTGCATTTAATTTTTTTTTTTAAATTTTGAAGATGTGGGGTACAATTCAGGGTGAGGTGTGAAAACAAATGTTCAATTTGCAGGTACCCTTGTTGATGAGATGTGTCCCCCCTCCCTGCGCAGTTTGCCACTACTGCCAATCCTGCCCTCCCCTTGGCAGTTTCCAACTACTACCAATTCCTTTCTTATAGTATTACAATAATTGTACAAGGTCCACTTATGAATGAGAACAAGTGGTACTTAGTTCTTTGTTGTGATAGATCACTCAGTGTTACAGGCTCTGAGTCCATCCAAGTTGCTACGAAGTTCATAATTTTTTTTTTTTTTGAGTTGGAGTCTCACTCTGTCGCCCAGACTGGAGTGCAGTGGCCGCTCCCGGCCACCGCAGCCTCAACCTGCTGGGCTCCGGTGATCCTTCTGCCTCAGCCTTCCAAGTAGCCGGAATTACAGGCATGCGCTACCACACCCAGCTGATTTTTTGATTTATTGTAGAGATGAGGTCTCGCTGCCCAGGCGGGTCACGAACCCGCAGGCTCAGGCAATTCACTCACTTCAGCCTCCCAAAGGTGTGGGATTACAGTAGGCTGAGCCACCGAGCCCGGCCATAATTTTTTCCTTCTTTATGGCTGTGTACTATTCCATCATGTATATGTACCACATCTTTTTAATCCAGTCCTCTTTTGATTGACAGCACAGTTGGTTCCATGTTTTTGCTATTTTAAGTAATGCTGCAATAAACATCTGTGTGCAGGCATCTTTTTCTTTTTTTTAAAGTTGGATTTCTCACACTATCGCCCAGGCTGGAGTGCAGTGGCACGCTCACAATCACTGTAGCCTTGACCTGCTGAGCTTAGGTGATTCTCCTGCCTCAGCCTTCCATCAGGTATCTTTTTTTCATAGAGTGATTTGAGTTCCTCTGGGTATATTCCCAGTAGTGGGATTGCGGAGTCATATGGAAGGTCAATTTTTAGATCTTTTAGGAATCGTCATCCTGTTTTCCACAGAGTTGTATTAGTTTACACATCCACCAACAGTGTAGAAGTGTTCCCTTTCCCCTGCATCCTCTCTAGCATCTGTTGTTTTTTGAGTTATTGATGATGGCCATCTTGCCTGGAGTTAAGTGATATCTCAGTGTGGTTTTAAGTTACATTTCTTTGGTGACTAGTGAGGCTGAGCATTTTTTTCATGTATCTGTTGGGTGCTCGTGTGTCTTCTTTTGAGAAGTGTCTATTCATATCTTTTGCCCACTTTGTAACGGGCTGTTTGTTTTTTTCCTTTTGGCACATTTGAGTTCCTTATAGAGCTTAGATGTTAGGTCTTTGTCAGATGTACAGTTGGCAGATATTTTTTTCCCAGACTATGGGCTGTCTCCCCACTCTCTTGATGGTTTGGCCTTGCAGAAGCTTGCCAGTTTGATGAGGTCCAACTTGTCTATCTTATTTCTTATGGCATGGGCACTTGGAGTTTTGATCAGGAATTGGTTGCCAGTTCCAATTTCCATAAGGATATCTCCTGCGTTTTCTAAGGTTCTTATAGTTTGAGGTTTTACGTTTAGCTCTTTGATCCATTTAGATTGTGTATGGTGATAGTAGGTAGGTATCTTGTTTTAATCTGCATGTGGTCAGCCAGTTTTCCCAGCACCATTTACTAAATAGGTTCTCCTCTTGCCAAAGGTTGGTGATGGAGGCTTTGTTGAAGATGAGTTGGTTGAAAAGTTGAGGTTTTGCTTCCAGAATCTGTATCGTGTTCTATTTATCTATATGCGTGTTCTTGCACCAATACTAGGCTGCTTTGATTATTGTAGCTTTATAATAAAGTTTAAAGTCTGGGAGTGTGATACCGCCTGCTTTTTTTTTTTTTTTGGCTGAGGATTGTTTTGGCTATTTGTGGTTGTTTGTATTGTCATTTCCAGGTCTGAGAAGAATGCTGCTGGTGTTATTGTTTTTTTGTTTTTTTTTTTTAATAGAATATGTCTAGTTACTTTTGAAAAAGTCCATCTACATTCTTACCATTAATGTATGAAAAGACTTGTTTCCCCTAAAGCACCATGACTGTCAAAACCCATCAATTTCTATTGGAGCCATGATATAATAATAAGTTTGAGAAGGACTCATGACAGAAGAGAAGTGAGGTAGTGCTACAATTACAGAAACTTTCTGCTTGGAAACACATTCTGGATTATGGGAAAGGTGGTCACAAACAGAGCATCAAATTCTTCTGTGTTGAAAAGATCAAGATCAGAGCAACTGGGGTGGCTGGTGCAGGGCAGACTACTAGAGAAGAAGGAGGTATATACAAGAGTTCAGAAATGCGCACAGGGATTTTCTTGAGTCTTTCAAAACACTAAGCAGTCAGGGAACTGCACATTAGAAAATACACAGAACTTACATGTGGCAAAGAGTCCAATTCTGATCATGATGATCACCTACACTATTTAATAGAAATCTCAGAAAGCTTACGCATTAGGAGCAGAGCTAAACTGTCTCTAAACATCAGACTTTCCCTAAGCTGCTTTGTGAAGGCTTCAAAAGGATCAAACCAACTCATAAGTAACTGCCTAAAGAATCTTCAGCAATGTAAGAAAAGTGTAACAGACTAGTCTTAGTGGCTCAGCCTGTAATCCCAGCACTTTGGGAGACTGAGGCAAGTGAATTGCCTGAGCCTGTGGGTTCGAGACCAGCCTGGGCAACTTGGTGAGACCTCGTTTCTACAATAAAAATAAAAAATTAGCTGGGTGTGGTAGCACATGACTGTAGTTCTGGCTACTTGGAAGGCTGAGGTGGAAGAATTGCCAGAACCCAGCAGGTCGACACCCAGTGAGTATGCCACTGGGTGACCGAGTGAGACTCCAACTCAAAAAAAAAAAAGAAGCAGAACAATATGACCCCCAAACAGGAAAAATCAATGTCATTCCAGACTCCAATAGCAGGGATAATGGTATTAGCATAACAGAATGAAGGAAGTTGTAAGTATGCTCAACATCCTGAAGAATTTTTTAAAAACACCAACAGTGAGAAATTGAAGATAAATAAAAACAAAATGACACTTCAAGAAAAGAAAAATAAAAACCAGAAAAGAAAATTTTACTGGGGATTAAACAATTTTTGGAAGAAGAAAAATCAGTGAACTTGAAAACGTATAAAAAAAGAAGCACAGCAGGAAAAAGACTGTAAGAAAAGGAGACAGTCTAAGTGATCTGTGGGAAAATATAAAGCAGTTTAAGATATATGTAAATATGAGTCTCAGAAGTGGGGGTTGGGTAGAAAAATATGCAGAAGTAATGGCTGAAAATACTATTCCAAGTGTGTCGAAATCTATGACCCACAGATTTAAGATGTTCAGAGAATTAGGGAATAAACACATACAAAATCAAGGCACATCATAAACAAATTGCTGAAAACTAATGGTAAAGGAAAATCTGGAAAACAGCCTGAGAGGAAAAAAGATGTATATAGGAACAAGATAACAAGGTTCATAATATCTTCTGAGAAACTATTTCAGCTAGAAGACAAATAGTATATATATATATATATATTTTTTTTTTTTTTAACAAAGTAGGATTTACTGAGAGTACAGAAAACTTCCCACAATGGAAGTGGGAATAGACCCGAGGGGGTTGCCCAACAAGCACCATCTTAACACATTTGTGACCAGCAGATTTTTCCCTTTCCTAATAGAGCAGGTGAAAATAAAAAAAAAAAATCTGAAGCTGGCTGTCACAGACTTCTGTCGTTAAGCACAAGTGAAATGGTACTTTCTTATTTATTTATTTATTTTTTGAGTTGGAGTCTCACTCTGTCACCCAGACTGGAGTGCGGTGGCCGCTCTGGCCACTGCAGCCTCAACCTGCTGGGCTCCGGCGATCCTTCCGCCTCAGCCTTCCAAGTAGCTGGAACTACAGGCATGTGCTACCATGCCCGGCTAGTTTGTTTTTGTTTTTGTTTTTGAATTGGAGTCTCACTCTGTCACCCAGACTGGAGTGCGGTGGCCGCTCTGGCCACTGCAGCCTCAACCTGCTGGGCTCCGGCGATCCTTCCGCCTCAGCCTTCCAAGTAGCTGGAACTACAGGCATGTGCTACCATGCCCGGCTAGTTTGTTTTTGTTTTTGTTTTTGAATTGGAGTCTCACTCTGTCACCCAGACTGGAGTGCAGTGGCCGCTCCTGGCCACCGCAGCCTCCACCTGCTGGACTCCAGCAATCCTTCTGCCTCAGCCTTCCAAGTAGCTGGAACTACAGATGCACGCTACCACGCCCGGCTAATTTTTAAAAATTATTGTAGAGGTAAGGTCTCGCCAAGTTGCCCAGGCAGGTCTTAAACCCGCGGGCCCAGGCAGTTCACTCACCTCAGCCTCCCAAAGGTGCAGGATTACAGGCTGAGCCACCGAACCCGGCTTCTTTACTTTTCTTGATATGAGCATGTAATGTTATGAACTTCCCTTGCAACACTGCCTTCATGACATCCCAGAGGTTTGGAGATGACGTGTCTTTGTTTTCATTTGTTTTCAGGAATCTTTTCATTTCTGTCTTGATTTCTGTGTTGACCCAAAAGTCATTCAGCAGCATGTTGTTTACTTTCATTGTCTTTGTGTGCTTTGGGTGGATCTTGGTAGTGGTGATATTTATTTTTATTCTGCTGTGATCCGAGAAGATGCTTGGTATTATTTCAACCTTAGGAAATTTGTTCACACTTGATTTGTGCCTGAGAATGTGGTCAGTCTTGGAGTATGTTCCATGTGCTGATGAGTAGAATGTACGCTCTAGCTGTTAGGTGGAGTGTTCTGTAGATGTCTGTTAGATCCAGTTGGTTGAGTGTTGAGTTAAGTTTCCAGATCTCCTTGTTTTTTTTGCCTTGTTGATCTGTCTAGGGCTGTTAGCAGGATTTTAAAGTCTCTGACTATGATGTGTGAGTGTCTATGCCCTCTCTTAGTTTACTCAGCAATTGTTTTATAAAACTGGTTGCTCCTGAGTTAGGTACATATATACTTAAAATGGGTATTTCTTGCTGGTGGATTGAGCCTTTTATCATTACATAGTAAACTTCTCTGTCCTTTTAAACTTTTATTCATTTGAAGTCTGTTTTGTCTGATATAAGAATAGATACCCCTGCTCTTTTTTATTTTCCATATGCCTGGAAGGTCATTTTCCAGCCTTTTACCTTAAGCCTATGGGTGTCCTTTGCAGTGAGATGGGTTTCCTGGAGGCAACAGAATGTTGGATCATGTTTCTTTGCGTGTGGATGATATGTTCTGTTAACTCTGTGCTTGCCTGAGCTTTTGCTATGGGTGTAACTGTTATTTTGTTTCTGTACTCAACACTTAAATATCTCCTGGAGGGCTGGTCTGCAGGTGGCTTTTCCTCTTAGGGATTGGATGTCTGGGAAGGATTTTAATTCTCCATCAGCTTAGCTTGTCAGGGTAGGAAATTCTTGGCTGGAATTGCTTATTTTTTAGAACATTAAAGATGGGACTCCAGTCCCTTCTAACTTGTATGGTTCCTGCTGAGAATTCTGCAGTTCTTATGGATCTTCCCACATAGGTGGTCTGACCCTTCTCTCTAGCTGACTTTAGGATTTTTTTTCATGCTTACCTTGTGGAGGTAGATTACTATGTGTCTGATCAATGACCTTCTCATGTAGTACTTCTCTGAATTTCTTGCATTTGGATGGTTGCCTCTCTAGCAAGATATGGGAATTTTTCTTAGATGATCACATGGAGGGCTTGTTGCAGGTTGTTCTCAGTTTTCCCTTCTGTTTTGGGAATTTCAATCAAAAGTATATTTGGCTTCTTTATGTTGTCTCACACCTCTTGTAGACTTTGCTCATTTCTTTTTGCACATTCTCTCCTTGTTCTTGCTAGACTTGGTTAGTTCAATATTCTGATCTTCAAGCTCTGAGCTTCTTTCCTCTGTCTGATCAATCTGCTCCCTAGGCCTGTTACTGTGCTTTGACATTCTATGAGGGAATTCTTTATTTCCAGGATTTCAGAATGGATCTTCTTCATATTAGCCAACTCAACTTTTACTTCCTGCATAGCTTTTGTTGCCTGGATGTTTTTTTGCCTTCAGCTTCTCATCGTTTTCCTTGTTTTTGTCAACCAATGTCTGAATTCCGTATTATCAGGGATAGGTTGTTCTAGTTGGCTTCCATTGTTTGGGGACTGAAAGCTGCTTTTGTAGGCGATGGCTCTTTAAGTCTTTAAGGATTACCAGTGATTTTCTGCTGGTTCTTTCTCATCTTTGAGGAGCAACTCTTCTATTATTATTTTTTAATTGTTTTTTAGGTAGTTATGGTCTTGCTGTCCTAAGGCATTTTCTGATATTCAAAATAGTTCATACAGGGAGTGAGAGGAGGCTATTTACTTCTGCTCTGGCGCTCTTGCTGCAAAGTGCTCTGAACTCAAAGTGACTTTCTGTTGCAGAGTCTTTCTCATGGTTAGATTAGCTGGACTACTTTCTAATACCCATTGTGAGCTTTATGTGGGGATTAGATGGAGGGAAAAGCTCCCTGGTGGCTGGTAGCACTACAAGAGTTTTGACATCATTTGCCATTGGCAGTACAGAAATGTTTCCACTGGGATATTGGGCCTCCAGGTACGTTTTGTATCTACCCCTCACCCATCAATTGCTGCATTCAGCAATTTAAAAAATCCTGCAGATTCCCTGTTACAGAGGGACCCACTCTTTGTGCAGGTGAGACTGGCAAGGAAACCTTCCTGATCTGGGGCCAAGGCTGGCTGCCAGACACTAGCAGCAGGCATCGAGTGAGTGTGACTGGCAGGTGAACTTTCCCAGCCTGGAAGCCAGCCACCAGGCACCACTAGCGGGGAATACTTTCTTGGGATTGACAGAGGTAGTTGTTAAGTGAGCAGGTACGTTCCCCCCTCCACGTGGGCTCCAGGAGCATGTAACTGTGCCCTAACAAGGTCTCTTCCTGTGTGAGACCAGTGACCCATACACACCTGGGAGGAGAGGAACTGACCCAGATCTATGAGCCTGGTACCCTGTGGGGATGGGGCTCCCCTGGCTCCAGTGTCAGTCACTTAGACTCTTTTCTCCTTGTTCTCTATGCATTCTATGAGTCCTCTGCAGAATGCAGAGTGCTCCCTATATCCAAAGCTGCTCAAGCTGCTTGACTTTACCAGCAGCTGGATCCATCCTCTTTGTTCCACTCAGCCAGTAAGGCACAGGTTGGCTACTCCCCAGTGGCCATCTTGAATAAGGTGCATCTAGAATATGTTCTCTAACCATAGTAGAATTAAGCTAGGAATTAATGTCAAAAAAGTTGTAAATTAAACAGACATTTGATTAAGTCAAATAAGAAATCACAAAATGACATTTGGAATCAAAGAAGTGAAAACCCAGCATATAAAATGTTGTACAATGCAACTAGGGCAGCACTGAGAGGGAAATGTATAGTTTTAAATACTTTTCAATCAATTAAGCTTCCACTTAAGGAAACAGAAAAAGAATTAAGGTGAAACTCAGCAGAAAGAATTCAGTTAAGAGCTGAAACAAGTGAAGTAGGACATCGGTGAAAATGATGAGTATATAGACAGACCTATGCTGAAGCCTGCGATTATATTGAAAACAAACAGCTTGGCAGTAATAAGAATGAGCAGAATGTGGTTGGAGTGCCATCAAAGCCCCATCCCTAAAGGATTGTCACTATTTGTCCTATCTGTTGATTTAAGTAGACTCCACTTGTAAGACTATTTAACCTTAGGTTTTTTTCCAGTGAGAACAACCTTTTCCAAGAGCAGTCCTTGAAAACTGTCACAGACAACTAGATAACAATTAGAACAAACAGTAGGTTAACCAAAATCTTAGAGAGTAACAACATAATTTGTTGGGAGCCGGCCACAGAGGCCCACTGAGCGTTAGGAATCAGGGAGGGCCGTGGACCCTGAGACCGCTAGGACATGTTCGGGAGCCGTAGACCCCAATTTCCTCCCCCTTTTGACATGCAGCACAAAAACGACCTAAAGGAACTCTGCTGGCCTAAGCTGAAGGCTCTGTGACTGTGACAGGCCCAGCTCACTCTAGAAACCCATTGTTCCTGTTTCCCATAAACTGTGGTTTCGGCTTAGGTATTAGATATAATTCAAATTCAGGTCACATTTGGGAGCCTTTTATACGTTACAAGCTTCTTTATAAGATTTAAAAGAATATTTGTAGAATTAGTATATACTTATGGAGAGCTGTTTGCAGCTTTTCAATGATGTAGATGATTATCAAGAGTGGCCCAGCACAGAGTTTGGGCTGGGCCACATTCCTGAGAGCCCAGCACATACTTTGGACTGGGCTGCATTCTTTTGGGCCAGCTTTAGCCACAGTTAATGTAAGGTCTTTTTTCTACCTATTATAGAAATTGAATTTATTTTATTCATAGAAGGTATTGTAGAATAGGTCATACTACGTCAAGAAATCATGTTAGTTCAACCATAATCAATCATGATATTTTTAGGTTTAATAAGAATATAGTTAACTTTAGAAATTTCGTTGTCTCCATTTTCTACTATCGTGGTTTTGGCCTTAGTACATTTACAGTTTATATTTGGAAGCTTTACTGCTGCTAATCAGCTTTATATATTAGAATTAAGAATTGGAAACTTTCATAGAAATTAGGATAGATATATAGGACTTTAGAATAGCCATTTTGTTAAGAGATTGTAGTCTATTGTTCCAAAAAGTAGCCCACCGTGAACCTTGGACTGGGCCACATCCTATAGAGCCCAGCGTGATCTTTGGACTGGGCCACATTCTTTAGGTATTGGTTTAAGCTATAACTAAGAGCTTCCGTAGCATTGTGTAAGTAGTATTAGCATAGAATAGAAAGGTAATAAAGTTTAAGTTAGTCATCATGGGTATTGAGTGAGCTTTAGAAGTTATTGATTATCAGAACATCATTAGGCTAGTAGGTATTGTTGCACTGCTTTTGAAGAGCATTAACTAGCAAAGGGAACAATAAGACAATCTTGGGGTTTGTCCCTCCTCACACCTAAGCATCTGGTGGGTGGGGGATGCCCCTCCTGCACCTGGCTTTGTGTTCATGTGAAAGACTTGTGAGACTGCCTGTGTAAAATTTGGGGATAAATACCTGCTGTAACTTTCAATAAATGGTTTCTGCTCATTTCACTGAACAGTTGTCCACTTTCTTTCTTTCTCTTTCTTCCTCTTTATATCTATCCTTCCATCTTTCTTTCTTTTAATATCTATCCCTACAGATTCGCCGATGCCACCACATCTTCCAAGGGACTCCCCAAAACTTGCAGGGGCTGGCCCCCCGCAA